TATGAATAATGGTCACTTAAATAAGAAAATGGTTATTATGACAATCAAGAATTATTCAAAGTTTTTTTTTACAAACACAGCCTAATGATAGCCTCTTCTTGATTAATAATTAAAATCACTTCATCAGGAAATTTTATAAGACGAAAATTTGCGCAAATTTTCATAACCCATGCAAATTTGCACAAGTTTTTTTGTGCGGGTTTTTTCCGTTCTTTCGACTTCACTCGCGGGTTGCAAGACGTAGAGCGATTTTCTACTAAGCTGTTTCTAAGCTAAAGAGAACAGCCTTGCTCTTAGCTACAAAATGGCATGCGTTTCATCCATGTGACATTAATATTTGTGAAGATCGACCAGTTTAATCTGGTTTAAAGAAAATATTTGTGCACATGTCATTTAGAAAATAGCCCTGCGCCTTGCAACTTGCAAAACAATAGAAAAAGTCCACACAAAAAAACTTGTGCAAATTTGCGTGGGTAATGAAAATTTGCCTTATAAAATTTCCTGATGTCTGTTATACAATTTCTTGTACAATTTATTAAATAATTTATTAAAGTTTTTTTATTAGCTTGGATTTTTTATAATATTTTAGTAATACATTGGGTTTTGAATTTAGATAAATAAGATATAAGTTTAGTTTTTTTTTTTTTAAAGGAAAAACAAAACATAATTAGAATTAGTTATATATAGTTTTATCCATATTTAATAATGTTTTATTCGAAAGGGATGGAAACAGCAACACAGCAGCAATAATAATATAAGTAGTAGTGGTAGTGATAATGATATAGAAAATATTGAAAATATTGGAATATTATAACTACTGGGGAAAAAATTAAACTGATGTTATTCAATTACATTATACAATAGCTCATCTTATTTTTATTGAAATTAATCAAGGAAATCAAAAAGTATCAATGAGTATGTTAATTTTTTGCAATCATATAATTCTTAAATAAGGACCTAACAATCTGCATATTCCGAATCAATAATTAACCTTAAACAAAAACAATCAAAGATGACAAGATAAATTAATAACGGTGAAAGAAGAAGATGAAGTGATTGAGATTTAAGTATGGGAGGAGGAGGAGGAGGAATTACTAATTCTAAAGATATTCCCAAAATACCAGATTTAAGATATAGTTTATTTATAAACAATACCTTTCATCATTAAAATTTCAAATCTTTTGTTGGTAAATTATTAATTGTTTCAGGATTTATTGAATATCTTCAACAATATGTTAATTCTTATTAGAAACTCCTTTAAATTTATTGTTTCATGGTGAACAATTATTAAAAAACGTAAATATGAGAAAGCAGCTGAGAATTTATTTGGGCTGGAGTAGTTTCTGTGAGTATTTTTATTTATTTTTATTTAATTTTATTAATTTTATTTATTTATAGTTATTTTATTATTTATTTGCTTATTTATTTAATTATTAACATTTATTATTTTAAATTTATTTATTATTTATTTTTTTATTATTATTTCTTTTTATATTAACCTTTATACTTTAATTTTAAATTAAAGGTATCAAACTTCAGTTCAATGATTTTCAGTAATGTATTTAAAATAGACATGTTGGTGAAGCATATAAAGCAATGATGACAAATCCCTGATCTACATACAATTAATAATAACAATGGTGATGATTATCAGGAGAATTATTTTTAATATTCAAATCTTGTTACATTCCTAAAAGAATTATGCAATGTACAAAAGGATATGAAACAAATACTTGAATTTCATGCTCAAAATCTTACTCCATCCAAACTATCTAATTATTCTAATTATTCGATGATTAGTTATTCGAATTATATTTCTCATAAAGACTTTAGAGATGGTATGTATGTATTATGTAGATTATCAAGTTCAATTGACCAATCACATGAAAGTCCTCCAAGATTATAATTAGCACATAAATTTAAGTGTTAATCTGAAATAATCACAATTAAATAATTCTGAAATCTTACCTCAGATTGATCTTTTTTCAAAAGGCGTGATTTACATACACCCAACATTCTTTAGTAGCACCCCATGCTCTAAATTCACATGCATTGATTTCATGATCCAATGGATAATATTTTTTTAATTGGATTTTTAATTTAATAATTGTTAATAGTTTGGTAAGCCATTGGTTAAAGAATTCTTGCCAATTTATATACATTGAAATTCTTCGTTTAAGATGATACACAAAAATTGATTCTATTAAATTATTATTGTTCCAATATTTCAATGTACAACTGGGTATTCGTTAAGCTTGAATAAGATTTTGCGTTCGTGAATTCTCTAAGCAAAAAAGAAGTTTGCCATTATATTTTTAACTTTATTCCACAAAGATCTGGGATTACATTCTGTAAAAAAAATTAATTTTGTATTTGCTCCTGTATAAATTGTAAGGGTACATTTATCTTCTTCAAGTTCTTGAACAAAAATGTATCTTTGATTTATTCTTTGGCATCATTTCTTATATGTACCTTTAACATAATAATTTTTCGATCTTCATCCCATTCATTTATTCATGAAGCTTTTTCAAAGTCTTCCAACCATTTTAATGAGTCTTGTAAACTATCACCATAGAAAGGTTCTACTCAAATAGTAGTACCTCTTACATTGCATTAAAGATAATTAAAATTTGTTTATTTGACATCATGTTGTCATCACTATTGTTACTATCACTACTACTGTTACTACTGTTATGATCGGTATTATCAAAATAACTAATAGTAGGAGAGTGTTCAATAGATTTCTCTTTTTGTTTCTGTTTTTGTTTAGAGGTTCCAACTGAAGTTTTGGAACTAGAGATTTAGTTGATAGCGTTTGTTGTTTTCTTGTATACACTCGGTCTCTAGAGTGTGAAGACGATTTATTTGATGAATGCACACTATCTGAAGTAGTTCTTTTTAGTTTAGGAGATCCAAAATAGTCTCCTCCTTTTATTTGTTGTGTTAAATTTGTTGTCCAAGTATCAGGATTTACTTGTCTTGGAACTGTACTTGATTGACTAGAGGAAAAATATAATGAAGAAGGATATAGTAAGGTTGACTCAGGTGGTTCAAGTATATTTGAGATAAAAGGGCTGGTGGTAGTAGTTTCAAAATTCCTTTCTTCCTCTAATAACTTTATAGTGGTTGAAAATAGTGGTAAATAGGTACTAACTGCAGGTAAGGAATTTTCACTTATATTTTAACTAGAGATACTTGACTTTTGTTTTGTTTAATTTTTTGGGGTATGTGTACTGGTAATTTAGGAATGATAATTTTTCTTATTTTTTCAGATGAAGTAGGGTAAAAAATGATTTTATGCTTTTGTTGGAATAAAAAGATCAATCGGCGTCGAGCTCGAGGCAGATTGAATTAACAATACAGTTCTCGAAAGAAGAAAGATGAAGTCAAATACTTCACCATCCCCCGAACCCGACTCTTTTTTATACCTTTTTGTAATCTAAAAGAAAACGTTTTTTGCGGTATACCCGAGATACTTTATCAACAAAAGCGACATACAAAAATAGCAACAACAGAAACGTATTGGTGACTCAAATAGTTTTCAACACCAATTGTATAAACTTCTCTTTATTTTTCAATTAATTACGCATGTTCAGTCAACCAGATATAGTAAAAAGTTCGAAACATGTGTAAGAGTCATCGTCTCCTCAATATTAAAGAAAACGAATCGGAAAAACTCCCGAAATTAAATAAAATTAATAATTTCGGTACAACCCAAATAAAGTAATATTTAATTTAAATTAATAAATTAGGGTTTCCGAAGGAAACCCTAATTTAGTAATTTATAATTAACAGTTATTACTAAATTAAGATGATAATAAAAATTATTACCAAATCAGGAAAACAGACCGGAACCTAAATGTCCCGGACGATCCGGTTCCGGAAAAACAAATTTCCGAAACAGGAAATTCCGCAGTAGAAGATCTACCAAAACATGTGAGTCATGTCGATCTTTCATCAGGTGATGATCAACAATCGGCATGACATTTCACATGACCTTCCTAAAATAGACAGACATGTGACGACCATTCATTGGTCGGCGTGATTTAAGATCGACATATAAAATTTCTAGGGTTAATGTCGATCCTAAACATGTGATTTCCAAAAAAGGATAAATTACATCCGCTTTAGGCGAATTTCCTTTTTGAGCGATTCCTAATAGGAAATTCCGCAGAATTTCCTTTTTGGGCGATCCCAAATTAAGAAGAGATCGACCCAACCCATGTGATTTAGGGTTAGGGTTAGGGTTACCAAATTTAGTAAATTAGGGTTAGGGTTCCCAAATTTAGAAAATAAGGTTACCAAATTAGGAAATTTAGGGTTAGGGTTTAGGGTTAGGGTTACCAAATTTAGAAATTTGGGGTTACCTAATTCGTAAATTAGGGTTACCAAATTAGGAAATTAGGGTTACCTGAGACTTACCAGATATGGAAATTTAGGGTTAGGGTTTCCATAAAAGGTAATAACTATTAGGTTAGGGTTAGGGTTTAGGGTTAGGGTTAGGGGTTGGGGTCCCCGGTGTAGGATATCTACACCGGGGGGTGTAGATATCCAAGCCCTACCAAAAAATGGCCTAAGTATAATTAAGGCAGCATTATCGGAAGTAAAGTTTTGCCACATTGATCGGACAAAGTCAACAATCACAGGACTAGAAATTACGACTTTAATGCTTTAGAAAGAGAAGAGTAAATCGAGCGACCTTTACGAATTGGAAATAAGTATTGACAATTCGAGTCAGGTGTAATTGCTTGATAACCACGAACGATAGATGAAAGGCCAGAGTGAACTAAAGGTCTGGCGCTGTTATTGTCAAGAGGAGTAATAACCCATTTACGTTGCATGGTGTCAGTTCCGATAATAGCGGAACGAAACCTAATAGCTTCTCGCCTCTCCTGATGAGGCTTAAGACCAGTTAATAAATCAGATCGATCACGATAGTCATTAAGAAGTAGTTTTTCATTAATGCGATCGTTGGGATACGAACGACGTGATAGAAAATATTTAAATGACTGTAACGCATTTAAAAATGTTTTATAATCGTCATTATTTCGTATCAATCTGATATTCTCGCCCTGTATCCAATTAAAGATATATTTAGGGGGGTAAAATGTCTGAGGATCGGTGTAAATATGTTTATTCATAGGTTTATCATATAGCGAAAACTTCAAAGTTTTTCGTTTAGAACCTTTCACCGGAACCCATTTGATGTTAAGGTCAAGAAAATTAATGCCCACATCAAATTCGGAAATAACTGGACCTCCTTCAAACTTAATATTGGTATTAGTGAGATCACTATTGTTCTCTTCAATATTATTAAGGAAAGTACATCCTGGAGTTTTATAAAAAAGATCGACTCGTTTATTATATTCGTCGTTATCTTTTTTGTGAGAAGGAGGAACTGAAATGATAAAAACATCATCCAAATAACGGAAGTAATTTATAGTCATTCCAGAATAAGATCGTAGCGTAACCTCAAAATTGTTAAACGTAACATACTCACGAGCAATCATGAATAAATTAGCTACGACCGGTGATAAAGGACTTCCCATGGGTAAACCTTTTCGTTGAAGGTAGTATTTCTTATCGTAAAAAACGTAAGAAGAATTAAACACCCATTGAATTAATGACATGATAAAATTAATATCATTGGCATCAAAAGAGAAGGAAGATTTTATCACCTTCAGATAGGCAGAAATAATACTGATAGCATCTCGTTGACCTATATTATTATACATGTCAGTGATGTCAGCAGTCTGCATCTGAGCATTTCTTGGGAAATAGTCATGTTGAAAATTCAAGAGAGCTAAAGAATTTTCTAAGACATAAGAATTACATTCATCAACAAAGGGTTGTAACTTAGCAGCAACCCATTTAGCGGCTTTAGTGTTAATCCAGTTATGTACCGGACTGATAAATCTCATGCCCATAGGAGATTTATGTACTTTTACAAGGCCGTAAATTTGAGGAATGGATAACGCATTCTCGTCCCAAACATCAGCAAAGAGAGGAGTACAATTCACTCTATCTTTGTTGGCATCATGAATGATAGTTTTTAAACGATCGAATTGGTATTTAATCCAAGGTTTAATATTATTACCACCAGGAACGAATTCAAACCTGGTTTTATCATTCATAAATTTACTCATCTGTTGCTTATACCAATCTTGGTTAACGAGAGTTAATCCGAGATTTTTATCAGCAAGCACGACATATACTTTATTAGCAATAGTCCAGCGAAACACACGTTCACAGTTTAAATTAAATTTAAAAACATTTTGGTACTTTCGATTGAATAGAGGTATTTTATTAAATAAATTAAAATTAATACAATAAATTATATTTTCGAGTTTCTTTAATTTATTTATTTTTTCGCCACCGCTTTCCCCTTGTTCTGCTTTTTGGTAGAACTCTTGGAGGGAAGTGGACCAACTTTTTGCAGCCTGACGAATGGAGCAAGGATAAGTAAGTTGGAAATTAGCGCCTTTATTCAATAATGAGTAAACGTACGAAGGGATTAAATTATCAGAAAGAGATGAAACGTTATTGACAAAAACCTTTTTCTTGCTCCTTTTTTGGTTTGGGAGCCCTTCGTTTTTGAAGCGTTGCGCTTCTTCTGGGAAGATTGAGTTTTCTTTTGCCCCTTTCCTTTCCCTCCTGCGCCTTTGTCGGAGCGCGACTTTTGAGGGGAGGATTTCGATTGTTTTTGTTTTTTTCTTGGGGGCAATCGCGGTTTTATTATGGCATATTGTTCGCGATCCAGAGTGTCGACTTCCATACTTACGCCATCGGTAGAGCTTTTCCTCTTCTTCGTCTGAATCAGAAAAAACAAGAAGGTCAACATGTGGCCAATCGATGCAAAAATGGTAGTCGATAATTTCAGTCATAATGTTAGAGCAAGAGTCACTTACCAGCGAGGCAGTGGCTTTTACTTTTAACATAGTGATGAAGTTCGTCAACATTTTAATATTATTGTCGACGAGAACAGTTTGGTCACGGGAGAATTCAAAGGTCTCCAGGGATCCTACTTTTTTAGGATCGTCTTGACTAGCAGCATTCCAGAACGAAGCTTTCATTTCGTCAGCAAATTGTTCAGGAAGCATTGTAAGTTTAGTGCGGAAATGCGTAACTTTCTTAGAGAGAGGTTCTAACGCATACGGGAGAGCAATATTATGACAGTGTAAATTAAGAGCTGTCAAATCTTCTCGCTTCATATTTCCTTCGAATTTGAAGTCGAGAGAGTGGAGAAAACCAGGTTTTGACTCCGTAATATCCGCCACCTTTTTGGTGAACTTACAAAGACCGGCGTAAGCATTTTTAGCAATGCTTTTATATTGTTTGAGGAGGGGATGTTCCTCAACAACGTCCGGGGGCGAAATACGAGCGATAGCAGCGTTAGCCAAAGTAGATTGGGTTCCTGCTTCGTCGTAAAAAGTAACGCCAATAGCAGCAGCAGCAACAGAGGAGCTGGCGGCAATGTTGTTGGAAGAAGACATGTTTATTATAATTTAAACAAAAAATAAAAACAGGTAGAGAGTTGTTGTTGTATGTGAAAGTTAGGGTAAAAAATGATTTTATGCTTTTGTTGGAATAAAAATATCAATCGGCGTCGACTCGAGGCAGATTGAATTAACAATACGGTTCTCTCAAGAAGAAAGATGAAGTCAAATACTCCACCATCCCCCGAAC